GAAACCCAAGTCCGATATAGAAAATCGGAGCCATAGACAAGATTGGTAAGAACTTCCACATCACAAAGTAAACCAATAGACTAAACGAACGACGTTTCGTTGAAGCATCGCTTAGTAACTATGAGAACAATAGCCGTTGGACAACGAAGAAACTGTTGAGACTATGGGTAATGAATATCAGACCACAAAGCACAGTGAAAAGAGCAAACGGAAAAGCTTAAGATCATCCAATAAAGCGCAATAGCCACCAAGAAGCGCTATAGACCTGTGCGCAGAGTTAGCGAGTAATAAGAGCTATAGTTAGACGAGGATGTGAGTGTGGGTGTGAGTGTCATTGGGGTTGTCAAAGAAGACAAGAGCCACATCCACACTCACACCCACGCACACCCATCAACACCCACACTCACACCCACACCTCCCACTCCACACCCACACCCACACCAACACCCCACACCCACACCCACACCACACATCCACACCCGTATAGTGATGCGAAATCTCGAAAAATCTTCGAAAAATTCCTTCACAAAAAACTAAAAACATTTCAAAATAGGTTTTAACAATCGCAGAACATCTTCTGAGGAATTTTTTCAACCTGGAGAAAAGAAATTTTCGTGAAGAAAAAAATCGCACGAATTGATATGTTTGGCTGGAATTTTCGAGATTTTGCATCACTATACATATACGCACAAGTCTCTCTCATTGAGGATGCCACAGAAATTCTTATCACACACATCAGCATATATCCCTCTGCTGATGGTGCTCGGAAATCGTGATACCATATGAAAAACATATTGTTGATTAGATGGCTTTGACCGATTTTGGCTGAAAATCTTCGAATTTCTCATTTGCGATTAACGATTTATTGCTCGTTGAATGTTAAAGTTGCTTTATAGATGAATTTTGTGCTAAAAAATGTCAATGTTTTGCGAAATTCAGATCGAAAAAGCCAAGAAATCAAAAAAGTTGATCGAAAACTCGAAGTTTGATGCCAATAAGCGATCTTTGAAAAATTTCTTCTCGAGGTGGAAAATCATTTGCAAATAGTTTCTAACCACGCGAGAATACGTTCTGAGGAATTTCTTCAACTTGAAGAGAAAAATCTCTGTGAGGAACAAATCATCTGAGCTGATATTTTTGACCCCATTTTTTGTAGATTTCGTAGCAATTCAAATATACGCAGCTGTCCTTCCCTGAGAGTGCTAGAAAATCTTTACCATATATATTTTAGCACATATATCTGCTGAGGGTGCTCGAAAATCGTGATTCCACATGAAAAATAGACTCCTTACTGAATGAACTTGATAGAGTTTGGATGAAAATCTTCGAACTTCTCATTTGCAATTCATCCAGTACGAAATGTGTTTTCATGCGAAGTTACGATTTTCAGGCATCCTCAGCTAGAGAGACATGTGCTGATGTGTGTTATGAAACTATTCGTGGCATCCTCACCTTCAGAAAAGGTTGTTTGTGTATTTGTGCATTTATGTGAAATCTCGAAAAATTCTAGTCAAAAACATCCATTTACATCATTTTTTCCTCACAAAGATTTTTGTTCTCCAAGTTGGAACAATTTCACAGAATGTGTTCTCCAACTGCTAAAACCTATTTTGAAACGATTTTACACTTTGAGAAGAAATTTTTCAAAGATCGCATATGAATCCCAAAGGACTTCGAGTTTTCGATCCAAATTTCACAACGACATTGTCGTTTTTGGATAAACAGTTCTTCAAATCAGAAAGTTTTACGCTCTTACGAAAAACGAAAAATTCAAAGATCTTCATCCAAATTTAGTCAAATTCATTCAGTAAGAAATCTGTTTTTCACGTGGAATCACGATTTCCAAGCGCCCTCAACAGAGACATATGAGTTGATGTGTGTGGTAAGGATTTCTGTAGCACCCTCAATAAGAGAGACGTGTGTGTATACATGTGGTGATGCGAAATCTCGAAAAATTCGAGTAAAATATATCAATTCACACGACTTTTTCTCATAGAGATCCTTTTTCCAAGTTGAAATGAGCATTGTCACATATCCAGAAAATCGGGGATGCAGGAGATGTCACAGAAGATGAAGGATACGCAAAAGTGTCCTTTAACAGACTTTTTCATTATTACACACACGTATATAAAGTCCTTCACCACATCTCCTCAAGAGATGAAGCGTCTCCAGGAGACGTATCTGCTGATAATTTTATTTTTGATTTTTCGACCTGGGACGCGTGTGTGGGATGCATATCTCGCCGGAAATAATGCATCTATTCAGGATATGCCTCATCTCCTGCCACATCTCTCCAGGAGATGAGGCATCTCCTGGTAAAAATGTTTTTTCTATTTTTAGTCTGGAACCCATGCGAGAAATACATCTCCCACAAGAGACGGTCCATCTCCTGACGAGATGAACCATCTCTCACATCTTTGTATGCCGCCGTCTTATAAAACTTCCCAACGGATGCGAAGAATCAGAGCGAAAAGCGACACACAGGGCATCTCTCTCAATGAGGGTGAGGACGAAATAGGCACACATGGAGCATCTCTCTCACTAAAGGTGCCGGCCAAATACACAGAGCATCTCTCTGAGGGTGATAGCGAAACAGAGATACAGGGCGGCTCTCTCAATGAGGGTGAGAGAGGAATGGATCTCAGGCTAAAAATCGCAAAAAAAGTTATCAAGAGATACATCTCCTGGGGAGATGTGGCAACTCTGTAGAAGCTGCATCTGATGAATGAAACCTAGGAAATGATACAAGATGGACATGAAGATGGGAGAGATATGGGAACGGGTGTTAGATGCTTGTAATAGTTGAATAGTGTGTTATAAGGCACTTGTGCATATCCTTGATCTCCTGCATCCACGATTTCCTGGATATGTGACACCTCTCCTTGAAACAATTCCTCAGAACCTGTTCTCCAATTGTTAAAACCGATTTTGAAATGATTTTACGCTTCAACAAGAAATTTTTCGAAGATTCTGTCAGATTTCGCAACACTATACATCTACACACACGTCTCTCTTATTGAGGATGCCACAAAATCCTTATCACACACATCAGCTCATATCTCTCCACTGAGGTGCTCGGAAAACATGATTTCACATGAAAGAAAGATCTCTTACTGGATAAATTTGATAGAATCTAAATGAAAATCTTTGCATTTTTCTTTGTTGTTGATAGTATAATGCTCGTTGCTGATCTTGAGCGTGTAAAACCTTCTGATTTGAAGAATTTTTTTATCCGAAAATGGCAATGTCTTTGGGAAATTTGGATCGAAAAAAATCAAATAATCGAAAACTCGAAGATCTTTGCCATTCGTATGCTGTCTTTGAAAAATTTTTGTTTGAGAGTAAAATCGTTTGTTTCAAAATAGGTTCGAACAATCGGTGGACACTTTTGGGGGAATTGTTTCAACTTGGAAAAACCTCTGTGAGGAAAAAGTCGTTTGAATTCATATTTTTGACTCGAATTTTTCGAGATTTCGTATTAATTCAGATGTACACCAGAGCTCGAAACCGAATCGAATAGGCGAATGATTCGATTCAATTTGATTCGACTCAGCCGAATCGAATCGATTACGAATTGAATGTCATCATAGTCGAATCGAATCGAGTCGAATAAGGACGGTAAAAAAGCGAATCGAATCGATTCGAATTGACCAATATGCGGGTCGAATCGAATCGAATCGAATCTATTTTTTTCTCTTTCATTCGGTTGACAGTGGCCTCTTGATTTTTCTCATATATCGTTATCGACGAGTGTATATATATTGGTATAGAAGATGACCGCTAATAAAGAAAGTGTTATCTTATTCATTTCTTTTTTTTCTCAGTCTAAACGGCGGTCTAACGTTAGCGATTGAATTTTACATGAATGCCACTAATAACTATGTTAAGCGTTGACGATAATTAGTCATCCGCTTCTTCTTGTGCAACACTAACTCGTGCATAGTTTTCGTCAACATCAACTTATTCAATATCTTCTATTTGACATGCATTAATTGAAGAAAAAGCTTATTTTCAAGTGGTTTTCAATAAAAGCAAGAGAAGAATGAAAAACAATTCTCAGCACGAGGAGACAATATTGTTGAAAAACCCATAGTAATATAAAATATGCAATATATTTTTTAACTGAATCTAAACCAAATCGAATCGAATCGAATCGATTTGACATTTCGAAAAAGTAGATAAAATTGAATCTAAGGTTCAGTCGAATCGAACCGAACCGAATCGAACTTTTATCATTCTTTTAGCGCTCTGATGTACACTACCGTCCTTTCCTGAAGGTGAGGGTATCACGAAAAGCTTCATAACACACACGAGTGCATATCTCTCTGTTGAAGGTACTCGGAAATCGTAATTCCATACGGGTTGTGAGGGTGAGGATGAACAGAAGATTATCATCTTCATCCACACGCTCACCCTCACTCACCCTTAAGCTTTTTCTAGCTGTGATTTCTGCTACTGACTAGATGATTGTCTTTGCAGAAAATTCTTATTTGTTATTCTTTTGTGAATCATTTAAATAGAAGTCTTATGCATTGCAATCTAAAGCCATCTGATGAGTCCCTTGAGAAAGGACGAGACGCATCATGGCTTCTAGACTCACCCTCGCATACGTGATATCGAAAAGCAACATGAATTGCCGCATGTTACAAGTCACCATATCAGTAGCACGTAATGTAGGTGTGGGTGTTAGTGCCGCTTCCTCTTTTCACGTTACACCCACACTCACCCACACCTGCTTACGATCGCCGTCATTTGTATTTTAACAGAAGTGAAAAAGCAAAAAATTTTAGCTGCCAACAATGTTCTGCTAAGCTATTTGTATGCAAATCAAAACAAAAATTTATAGACAACTCTCTCTCTGAGAATCTAGTCATTCGTTTACAACTTCTTTTGTTGTGAACGCATGTTGAAATATAAACACGCCACATCGTTAGTAAACTTCACAGAGTAGTTTCTGCTCGGCCTATCACAATCTTCCCTCAAATTCACTATTATTAGTTATGGCAGAAAAATTCACTTCAAGTGGAAACGAAGACGAGCACGTTGAATGGATGTATGAATCGAATTCGGATCCATGGTCAAAATCTCAACTAGAGCAATGGACTTGCTATTCCGACGTAGAAAATCTTATTATTGAAGATGCATACTCTAAAAATGAATCGCATTTGATGATGGATAATTATTATATTGATTTTAAACGTAAAATTCAAATTTCAAAAGATAATGAGAATAACCAGAGACCAATTAATAGAGTGGTTCGAAAAACGGACAAGACACGAGTACGAGAAGAACGCTTCACATTTGATCCTATTGCTCCAAAGCGTCCTTATGGACATGAATATGGGTGGGTTTCTCCATTCATTTTGGAAGTTAGAAAATATCTAAAACTTATACCTGAACAGTTACCATCAAAGGACGATAGCCTTGTTCCCATGATTGTTGAAAAGGCCGCTGATGGTATAATTGAAGAAGGCAAGATTATTGGACGATTGTGTGAAGCACAGAAGTTGGCTGAGAAGTTAAAGAACGAGAAAGACAAAGGAATGAAACAAGTTTGGATATGCTGTGCAAAACTGTATTCAATGGAATGCTTTTTATACAAAAAATTAAATGAAGTCATGAGGCTCATTGGCAGTGATGATCATGAACAATTATGGCGAAGTAAAGTTCGTACATTAGGACCATTTTGCTTGCTTTTATGGGATAATCCATTTCAAACTAAACTGACGACAGAAAAGACACTTTATCGAGTAGTCAAATTAACAAATGAACAAATTGCTACTTATGAAGAGATGGCTAAAAATCCTAATGAATACCGTTCGTTCCAAGCATTCACTTCGTCAAGTCGAAATAAAGATGTGGGAAACAATTTTCCGACCACTAATGTTTTATTCATCATGGAAATAGAATTTGCTTTCACAGTCGATATCGCGCCATTTTCTGAGTATCCACATGAAGAAGAAGAACTTATTACTCCAGGTGTTTGTTTCACCGTTCATCGCGTCGAATTCGACAAGAGTGCAAAAAAGCATGTAATCCACTTAAAATTGAGACATCGTTTCTCTCGTAAGTCAGATGGTTTTGCTTACTATTTCTGTGGGTACCATACAAACCGTTTTCTATTCTAGGACGCGATAAACATCAATTCCAAAAGGATCTTACCCAAGCTTCAGGTCCCGAGTACAATACTCGTTCAGGTCGTATTACTGGTGATCTTCTTATTGATGGTGTCGATCTTCGCGATCTTCTTGATGATCATTTTAGCGGTATTGCTCTTGACGATGGTGATGATCTTAGTTACGATCGTGATGGCAATCGGCATTGAGATTTTTTCAAGGCGTAAAAGTGGAACAACTGATAAAATATTCATAGAAACAAATTTTGTCGGTCTCTATAGATGACATGATTCTATATACTAAATGTGGCTTAATATTCTACTCGCTATTTTTTATGATCAGTGGATTTATCAGCAAAGATTGTGAGGATGAGGGTGAGTCAGAGAAGCCATGACCGGTTTCGATCTTTCTCAAGGATCTCATCAGATGGCTTTAGAGTATTACAAATAGACGATTCTGTTCAAATGATCAGTCAATATAGACGATCACAAACAAGAATATCCATTGTAATAATCATCTGGACACTTACAAAGGAAAGAATTCCTAAAGCAAAGTCTGATACAGTTTTTACGGAGGTGAGTCTAGCAATCATGATCGCAATTTCGACCTTGCTAGAGGATCTAAGCAGATGGCTTTGAATATCAGAATCTGTTGTTATGTCGACGAAGGTCTCTGTACAGAACACATCAGTTGGAAAGAGACTTGTTTATCGAGGTTAATGTTTGGTTTCGCAACGAAAGCTGAGTTTTAGTTAACCTTTGTCGTAAATATAATACTGACAAAAAACAATAGAATGTAGCACAGTAATAAATATCAGTTCATATTTAGGAAAATATGCGCCAGCATTTCAAGTTACTGTCAAACATAAAAAATATCAAAATCATGTTAATTGACAAATAAATAGAGCTAATGTTATATGTGACACGTATGTGCTGATAAAAGGATATGATTACACTATATCCACTTCTTTTCTTCTCAGTGCAGCAAAGCGTTATCAAAAACGTTGTGCAGATTCTATTGATCGAACAAAACTCGCACACGCATAAGCCAAATGCACCATCGTTGAAGTACCCGTTTTGTAGAAGTGGAATTGTGCTTTTGAACTTCTCGCTTGTTGTTAGTTGAACACGCATAGCACGCAGTCGAACTGACAGCAATAATGTAAGGGTGTGGGCGTGGGTGTGGGTGTGGGTGTGGGTGTGGGTGTGGGTGTTGATGTGGGTGTGGGTGTGGGTGTGGGTGTGGGTGTGGGTGTGGGTGTTGATGTG